CCACCGTTATCCACCTCATTTTCTAATGAGTTTGGCCATATATTTGCGTTCCTTTTCTTATACTGTTTTCTAACATTTTACCGACCCGTTTACGCATACTCATATGAAACCTTTCCATGAATCCGACCCCTATTCTCCTCTTTGAATCGAACCGGCTCTCTTCTCCCAAACTTCAGATGATCAATTCTGACAGACAGATCCGTCAGCTGTTCCCCTCAATCGCAACTTCTCCTTTATTCGTCGTAGCAACTCGTCATTATTTAAGTAGCTACATACAATGCGTCGTTAGTAATCAAAGCAACGACTAATATAACCGAACTCCCCAAATATCACCTTGCAAATGTTACAATTAAAGCTAACCTGCTACCTCGGTTGACCCTTTGTTTAAATTAGTTAAACAATTGGAGGTGCTGTACAACAAAGGGGGGGGCGGTAATATCATGCTACCTAAACATGTCAATTATTTTTTTAATAATTTGATTATACAGCAAAGCAAATTTTTAAAATAAAATATTTTGAATAAAAAACATACCGAATGTCATTCAAAGTTAGACCATATAGATTACCACTGATATCAAGATGTTTGAGGTGTGGTAAATTTCCCGGTTTAATCAGTTGATCAACTTCTGGATAGCGTTCGAATCCGGTTCGACTGTAATTTGATACATCCAATGTTTGGAGCTCTTTCAACTTCAGAAGAGAAGATAGGATCCTGGCGAAGGCGTAGGCATGATTGCACCTCATCATGTGCATAATCAGAACCCTCAGCTTATCCTTCAATGATTTTAGGCAGGAGATATTATCCACTATATTCTCGGATATATCAAGATGAGTGAGATGAGGTGATGATCGCACAATAATACGAAGATATTTAGAATCCAAATTTGTACGAATCAGCTCGAGAACCTGCAAATTTCGAAGTTGCTTTAGAGCTTCAAAGGAGATTCCCCTCCTACTTTTCTTTATTTTCATGCTATCCACTTTGAGTGTATGCAGATGTCTCTTTGTCTCACGACTAAAATTGGACACTAGGTCCGCCAGGTCGATTCCTTTCACATGTAGAACGGTTACATTGTAGAGAGTGAAATCTTTCAAAATTCTGATATCTGATGGAACTAACTTGACGTCAGAGAGGAAAATTGAACGCAAATCGACATATCGGGAAGCAAATAGCTTCAAGTCTTTTTTCTTCAATTTTCCTTCCTCGCTAAGTCCCTTGAGAATCCCTTCGGCCACTGGTGCCGGAAACACAAATTTATTATGGAAAAGGCGTCGAAACATGCGCAATTTTCTATCAAGTTGACGAGTAATGATCAGATGAGAGAAATTTTTGACAATAGTTTCAATGCAAAGAGCTCGGAGACTGATTTCCTTTCTCTCGGTTTCTCCTTGAATCGAATTACTCATAATAATATCACAAATTTAAAATAACTCGTAGAGAGCTTTTTAAAAGGCAATGTAATGCAACATAGGGTATATATAACAACACGACATTCACTCACCTTCCATGATTCAAGATAAACAGTCAATGCAAATGAACAATCAGTCTAAAAAGGAAATTTAATTTCATACGAATAAGACGAAAAACCAAATCTCACCTTTAAAAGATAGAGATAGAGAGTGAGAGAGAACAGATCAATTAAGCACACTTAGCTTTATTCAACTAACGAAGTTCAAATAATTTGCATAAGCTAACAGATCGCTGAAACAAAATTTCATGACTAAAGCAAGCAAACGCTGCCTGTTTAACGCAGTCCTTGTAAAGCCACCTTTTCCCTCATAGGACCTTCGCTTCGTGCTCACTCAAGGTCCACTGCGTGGTTTGACACCTTCTACCCACAATGTGACCTTAATTCACACTACCCCCCCCCCCCCCCCCCCCCCAA